ATATATGGGCCATACCTTTGTTACGTTCGCACCTTTGGGATAAATGTGAGCAACGCTAATTTCATTAGAGAGGGCGGGCGCCCTATAATTGTTGGACCGTCACTGTTTCCACTACGCTTTTATTTTGTGGCTTTTACTAATGGGCTAACGAAAAAACCCGAAGCGTCGGGCCCCCAAAATCACTTTCCCAGTACATTTACGTAACCAAATGTATACAGAAGCGGTTGACTTATTGACATTTTCATGACAATAGACGTTTGCGTTTCTCGGTACTAAAGTGAACTGTCACCTTCAGGATAGAGAAAGAAGACTGAGATGTTGCCAACTACGGTCGAAAATGACACGCTAAGAGCTAAGCCTTTAGTCTGTATAATATACACTGTGCGCGGCATCGGACTCGTGCGCATTCTGTCATGAGCAGGACTACAAAAGCTGAGTGTGTGTAGTCGAATGCATTGACTGAAACACCATACTACCAATATATCTGTTGGCTGATAGCCCCCTTTTCATTTAAACAAAGAAGCGGTTAAATGTTCTTACTTTTTGAGACAATAGACCTTCCATGCACCACACCAGGTACTTGAGGAAGTTAAGACACGTTGAATTTGTTTAATTTCATTGCGTATCATTTCGCTAACGCGTTTCGAGTTGATGTTTTCCGTTTTTCAATCGAACACTCCAAAAAGCCGGTTTTGTCCCAAAGCTGCTTAACTTCAAACGTTTTGTCTGTACAGAGATGATTTAATTACCTTCCAGCATGAGAATGCGAAATCTCATGGGGCCTGCAGTCTTTTGTTATGCTACTAACTTGTCCCTCTGTCTCTTTTTGATGTCCGGTAAACTTCATAGGGCAAACAAGAGGCGCCCTTAGTTACTCGGATCATTGCCAATAGATGTGACAACTTATTCGCTGCCTGAATATATCGCCTTGACCACGCCCCTTGCGGCTAACGTTGTAATAGTGTTGAGTGGCGTCACTTGAAGCCGATAACACACCACCTTAACGGAACGCGTAATAGGTGGTCAGGGTATTTGCACCGCCTCTCTGCCAGCCCTAATGACGTAAGACCTTTTAGAATCTGAAAAAATAAATAAACTGTCGTGTGAGTTTTCACACCTTCCACAGACAGATTTGTACTGAAACTGGCAAACTGCTGACGCGCTTGGCGTCTGGCGTCTGTCAACGGTTGACCGAAAAGACAAAAGGCGTCTCTGCTGTCAGCCGTTTTGAGCCGACTCAAACCTTGGCTTATTTATCCAAAACCTCGACCGGAAATCCTGTATGCGCGCACACACACAGCACCACCCTCGTTGGTAAAACTGGTGACGTCGCAGCGGGCTGAATATAGGCCGGTTGAAATCCCCGTTGACCGCCTCTGCCCACTGAAGAGTCAGATTTAGAGACAACCGCCGCGCGATGTTCGACCTTTCCGCGGCTGGTCAAGACTTTCTGAGCCGAGTCGACAGTTTTCGTCATCATCACGTGATTGTATTTCCCACTTTGTCAGACCACGGCCAGTTATACAAGGCGGGAGCACTTGATTCCCTCAGGCGCGAACGACACGTAGAATGATAACGACATTTATAAGATACTATCGGCCCGCCTGGGTTTTAATAGAAATTACATTAGCTCCATGCTCTCGTTGCTGACACATTTATCTAATAGTAGTTTATATGTTTTCCTCTTTCCGTTAGCATGCTATATTTTTTATTCCCATCTCGCAAAAATCCTAATTTAGAGTTTTAAAAAGACAAATTTCCTGCCCCAGTTGACAGATTTTCTAGTCAACGGCTCTCACTAATAAGGCAGTTTTGCGGGTCTGGCTTATTTCGCCCGCATAAGGGCCTGACAATTCGAAAATCAATATAAATCACGCCATTTTGTGTGAAAACATCCATGTCGTTAACACTGAAATCTCTTTTTTTTCTCAGGCACATACAGCCAGTCAACTGGTGTTGAAGTTGTGCGCGAGGACGTTGCCGCTTATATAAAACAGCGGGATGGTATTGAGGCGATTCCCGATGACATCTTCCTCTCAAGCGGAGCCTCTGAAGCCGTGAAGGTACGCGAAAAGACTTTATTCTGACACATAATTCCACGCGACTACGACAAGTAGATGGTAATTACCAGAGCTACTTAAATCAGGGCCTTATTGAATCAGCAGAGGAGGAATGAAATTACCTGATAATAGAGGCCATGCTGCGGTAACCTGGATCGTGAGACTTAGGTTTTCATGACAGGGCCTTAATCCGTGCCCTGAAACCTGGTTGCTGAATGACGAGGAACGGCTGGCCACGGCCTAACCATAAGCTGGCTGGCTAAAAGAAATCCGCTAGTGGGGCGTATAAATCTGTGTTGTAATTACCGATACTGACCGATATCCTTGAGATAAATTAGCAAGACCTCGCCCTATCCTGGGCCGCACATCCGCGCGCCCCACTCAAGCCTTCACTGTAACGAAAATAAGTGCGTGTGTCGGAACCAAATCCAGAGTTATATACTTAAAGCCTCTTTCCCATAAATGGAATTGGAAAGGAGACTGCCAAGACTTCAGTGTAGAATTCTGAGGCCTCATCTGGTCAAAGTGACAATGGTTTTTCTAGTCTTTCCTCTGATTTATCAGGCTTCATATTAAGTGGAGGCACAAAGTGGGGCGGGGCACTCGGCCCGGTTGACAGTCTTTCATTTGCGTCCTAAATGCACATAAAGCCTTGAAAAGAAGGAAGACGTGGGTGTCAGTCCTAAAAATAACTTTTGTATTCGATGCTCCCATCTTTGATTGCTCACAGGGCAGATCGACAGATGCCCGCATTGGGACCTCCGTTTTTTTGCTTTATTTGCACTGCGTCACCGCTTGTCCGCTGAGCTATTGCCGTAGGTTCGATCGATTGGCTTGCTGCCGTGCGCATCCGCGATTGCGAAACCTTCAGGCTAAGATTTTATAGTTTCAATGCATTTTCAAAGGCTATATTAAGCCACCGATGCTCTGCTGAGATTTTTCATGCGGGTATCACGAGACTGCTAACCAAGCGAAGCTGATTGCAAGCAAAAAACAAAAGCCCAACCTACAATTAGTGGTAAATAGGAAAAACATGGCGTATTTTTCCATCTGTTAGTCAGCTGACCAGAAATGACAGTGCTGAACTGGAAGATTGCTCTGAAGTCGGCCTCCTTTAATGGGCGTGGATGGGACCCTTTAATGAAGCAAGCGAGCGTCTAGTGGTAAACTAGACTATGCAACCCAGTCCCTATGCGCGCAAACATTCGCGGTCCGCGTTTTCTTCACCCCATAGCAACCCCATAGCTCACTGAATGCTGTCTGCTTCTCTGCTTCACTATACTCTCCCCCTGTGCATCAGGAGGCTAAAGGTGTATTGAAAACATACGTATGTCTGAAATGTCGACTTATATCATCTTAAACGAAACTCTTCGCAAGGTTCTCGAAGGTTGTTTCCCGCAGTGGGAAGACCTAGTGAACTCTAGAATGAAACAAGCGTCTCTTTGAGATTTTTATCTTCCGTTTCGACCAGTGCATGTGATTTCCTTTTTTTAACTGGCGAATTCGAGTGACCAATCCGCAACAGTGTGTTAATTCCACAGTAATTGGCGGGGTTTGTCCCATCATCCATCCTGCCTAATTTAATCCCGGAATTGAATTCCAATCACTTGAGGTGCAGTAACCGACTAATGCCTCGGTATTTTTGTCCAAGCCCCTTTGATTGACAGCCGCCTGTCTGCTAGCAGTGATGTTAGCGATCCAATAACCTACAATTACAACTGACGCCTTTTTTTCCTCTTCCTGCTGTCCACAGTACATCCTAGAATTGGTGGCCACGACCAAAGAGGGCAACCAGCGTGCAGGCGTGATGGTCCCTATCCCCCAGTACCCCCTCTACTCGGCAACTCTAGCCGAATACAACAACTATCAAGTAAGTAAGCATTTGATAATTGTGCAATTTCTCATTTATGATGTATTTGTCCGGGGTGAACCTCTTTAGGGGGCCATTCTTCTCAGTCCTTCGGTGCAGTCGCCTATTCACAAGTCAGCTGTAGCCAAGAATTGCTGTAAAAGATTAATGGCTTGTTTATCACAGCCTTCGTGTCGGTCAGGTTTGAACCTCCTAGCTGGAGGGCGAAAAAAAAACAGTGCCAGAGGATGTCTGGTCAGTCGAGTTTCCCCGAAACGTGCTTGATGCGATCACTCCTGAAATTCGGATATTCTGTCCCGTAAGGTTACATCCCTTGTACAAGGCAGAAATGATGAAATACGCAGAATTTAAAGACGCCATAGCATTTCTTTACTCCACTCATCAACTGCTTACGTTCACTACATCTTAACACAATCTATTGGTCGACAAGAAAATGACCTAGGACGGTCACACGTGATAGGTCACCGAAACCTCGTCAAACAGCCGCACAGCCAATCACGTGTGTGAGGGAAGAGGGCAAGCGAACGGGAGAAGTAACAGTACGAAGTGGATCATGTGAATGGCTGGCGTTTTTCTGACCTCTGTATTACCACGGCTTCTGAATGCTCTATAGGATGTCCCATCGTCGTCCGATGTTGGACGTTAAATGCAGCCGTTGGATACACTGCATGGCCGACGTCTGCTAGGTGGTTCGCAATGGAACTCCTTATTTTTCACTTTTAACAGCTATTGCGGCTTATTTTCAACTGGCGTCATTAACTTCTGCATACTTTGACACCCTCATCAAATGTATGCTGGGGAACACTGTTTCAGCCCTTCCTCCCAAGTTAATTTTGTCTAAAGCCAGTATACGATAGTATGCACATACTGAACTCTCCATCCTCTTCTCTTTCTCTCTCTTCCCTTCTCCTGGTAGATTAACTACTACCTCGAAGAGGAAAAGGGTTGGGGCCTAAATGTTCAAGAAATGGAACGAGTTCTGAGTGAAGCTAAAAAAGAGTGCATCCCGCGGGCCATTGTGGTAATCAATCCAGGTAATCCGACAGGTCAAGTGCTCCAGCGCAGTGACATTGAGGAAGTCATCCGCTTTGCCCATCGCCACAACCTCCTCGTAATCGCTGACGAGGTTTACCAGCACAACATCTATGCACAAGACCGCAAATTCTACTCTTTCAAGCGAGTGCTCCACGACATGGGTGGATCGATTGCCTCGGAGCTCCAACTCGCCAGCATGATGTCCGCTAGCAAAGGTTTCATGGGCGAGTGAGTTGAAGATAATTTTTTTCATCGTGTTTTTTTTCCACCAAACCGGATAACCCTGTCCCTTCTGTTTAGTTTTTTTGTAATTGAACTGGGCTTGACTGACTGCAGGAAACGAAGGACAGGTCTCTGGTAGATACAAGCCAACAGCTGAGGAAAAGCAAATGCGACCGCTGGGACAAGGACTTTATGCGCGTGACGTTTCGGATTCCGTCACGGATCCACCATCATAGACAGTTACAGAAACGGTCAATTCATAAACAGGGAGTTGCCGTGTTTACAGGATACAGTCGCTATGCTACTGAATACCTATGAAAATTCACGGCTTCCCCTTAGCGAGGATAGGGGCCCGATTGTGCGCTAATTGCTTAATTGCTGGCGTATGGGTCATGACCGACTGAACCTTAATCACCTGTGCTAGAATTAGGCGTGATGACTGTTCGGCCATCTGGCTCCCTGGCGTTGGCGTTACAAGATACGTTCGCTGGTACACTCCCCGAGTTGCGACTTGCTTC